CCATGTCTCTTTGAGGAGCAGCGTGTGCGGGGAACGTTGAATTCTAAATGAATCAGTTTTAATTCAGTTGCGCAAAAAGAAAAAGAGGAAGACGAGAAAACTGAATCTACAGCAGACAGCACATGCGATAGTCGTACAACTGTTTCCAAGGAGATAGTATTAAAGAGTTATAAGCTGGACTTAAGGATTTAGTGCGTCATCAAAGAAATTCTGCGGTTATGAGCTATCGACAAAGAATTTTTAAAATATGCATGGGTTTTGTCCTAAAATACATAGCAACATTCATTCATTAATAAGCAATATCCCTCGAAAAGTTCGCAATGACATTCTCCTTTTTAAAAACGTTCTTCTCCAATCCTTTAAGGAAAATGTTTGTGGTTTTTAGCCTTGGTCATGTCTCATGGCAGATAGCCGTCGATCGTCCAACACCAGATGGGCTTGCGCTTGAGGTAAATAATTTAAAAATCTGTTACAACAAAATATTGATATCCTGCGATAAATTGTAGGTTGAACAATGCTCGTGCCCGCCTGGATACATTGGAACTTCATGTGAGGACTGTGCTCCAGGGTACGAGAGATCTGGTCATGGACCTTATCTTGGAACCTGCGTACCTATCCAGGTTATTGAAATAATTTTCCTGGCACTGGTATCTATCAAAATCGTGTATTTGTAGCAAAGACAACCCCAATGCACTGGTCCTGGTGCCGTATCTCAATACCCAGTTGGAGGAAGATGTCAGTGCAAGACATATGCTCAAGGTTTGACCTTATCAATTTTATAACATTTTGTCCCCTTCCCACACGGTGCAACTTACAGAATATTCTTTTTAAAGAGAAATCACTCTGACAAAGTGTGCTTTGGTTATAATTTATGACAAATTTTCAAAAATTTTATAATCCATTTGTCTTCTGCCTAACTTTTTGTATCCCAGGACCAAACTGCGATCAATGCCCACCACACTCTTTCTACATGGCAGCTACGAACCCACAAGGATGTATTCCATGCTTCTGCTCCGGCGTCACACAACAATGCCAGTCTTCGAGCTTCCGCAGACAGATGGTTGGTTCCATTTTCTCCCCAGCTTCGCTTTACTTAGCTACTGCTTGTTTTGATATTTTACAAACTATACTTTTTTCAGGTTGAAATCAATTATCCTCGCGGAGA